AGGATTGCTTGAGCCCAGGAGATTGAGGTTGCTATGAGCTAGGCTGATGCCATGGCACTCTAGCCGGGCAACAGAGTGAGACTCTGTCTCAAAAAAAAAAAAAAAAATGTTCAAGTTGACTCATTGCAGCATTGTTTCAAAAGATGGATTGCACTAATTGTCCTTGATATACACTGGTTAAGTAACATGTGGTCCTTTCATACACAGGGATACTATGTATCTATTTTTAAAAGTGTGGAGGTGTTCATTTGCTGATATAAACAATCTTGAAGATTTTTTTTGTTTTTTTAAATTTATTTTTATTTTAGCGTATTATGGGAGTACAAGTGTTAAGGTTACATATATTGCCTGTGCCCCCCTCCCCCCTTGAGTAAGAGCTTCAAGTGTGTCCATCCCCTAAACGTTGCACATCTTACTCATTTGTTGTGTATACCCCATCCTCCTCCTCCCACCCTCCGACACCCGATAAATGTTACTCCTATATGTCACTTAGTTGTTGATCCTTTAATACCAATTTGCTGTGAGTACATGTGGTGCTTGTTTTTCCATTCTTGAGTTACTGATGAATTTGAATTCCCCTCCTGTGTAAGCCTGGTTTTTGGAAGCACCCTAACTTATGCCATGTGGGAGGGACAATCTGGTCGGGGCACAGGTCGAGCAATGCCAAACCTCCAACTTTTCTCGCCACCCTTGTGTGGCTTGATCAGGATTCAGAGTACTGGGGGAGGACGCCCATAGGCTGAGTTTAGCTCCTTCTGGCCATGCCATGGTTGGGAGAGGTTGATCTGGGCCATTAGCCTTCCACGGTGGGAAATGGCCTTTAGAAACCTTTGCGCCCTATCGATCTGGGCTCCTGGGCAGGGAGTTGGGTTAAACGCACGGACGCCATGAGGGCCTCTGCTGCTCCTGGGGTCCCTGCTTGTGCACCTGGAGTCGACGCTTTCGGCTGAGAGCCTTGGGGGTCTGTTGCACAGTTGTGGCCTTTGCCCATGACCCGTGAGTCCAGGCGACGGGGAGGCTTGTGCGGGAAGGCGAGGCTGGCCCAGAAGGCCCAGGCGGAGGAGATAGACAACCAGTGCTGGTGGATAGGAGGGCAGAGCCTGTGCCTCCGGGGGATATGGAGACTTGAGAAGACCATGAGAGGAGGAGGGAAGGGTCCAGGCAGTGGGGGGAAATCTCTGCACTTCTGGGCTGTGAGAGGAAGCTGGGGACTGGCATGGCATCTGGAGCAGGTGATGTCTTTGTAGGCAAATCCCCTGCCTTCTTCTCTCCCATGCAGGCTCCACCTTGGAAAGCCCCCAAGGAGCACAAGGTCAAGGTGGATGAGCACACAGTGGTAAGTAGCCTGGCTCCTCCTCCTGGGTACCCGAGTATGACGAGGGCGTGCAGTCTTGGGGCAGCCTCGGCCCTTGGAGTGAGGGCAGGGAGGCTGGGCACCGCTTTTTTTTTTT